GATATATGCAAAGTCAAGATGATCGTACAGCTGTACTTTAGAGACTACTCTGTCTCTCAGTCTATAAGAAAGTGGAAGCACAGTATTTGAAGTCACAATGTGTGCTGAAACCACCAATACTGATGGTTTAGCTCAACTCAGCACTTTTCACTAGAAATCATGCTCAGGAATAACCCTCAAAAGATGTCTTTTCAATTTAATCGGAAATTCCAAAATGCTTCTACTTACAGCTTTGGACCCTGCCGTGGGGTCTTTGGTGTAATGTGCTGTCTGGTTGGAGCTGTCACTGTTGCCCATCGATTTGCCAATAGGATCCTGCTCCGGTTTGGTCCCCACACAGCCCATGTTGAGGCCTGAAGAGTTAACAACAGAAGACACTAATGCAGGTTGTCCTTGCCTGTTTAAAAACAGAACAACATTTCCAGAAATAGAAAATATGCAAAACATGGGCTGTTCTGAGTTCCCACTGAACAATGGTTAATTTTGTTGCTTCGAAAAGCATGTATTGTACAGATTATGATGGAAAAATGACTGTAATGTGCTATACATGACTCAAATGTATTAAATGCCATGTTAAATGCCACGTGTTTTGGCCTACGGTACAACAAGATTAACTTAAGTGGTGAGTTGTAAGAGGATACGTCAGATTAGTATTGACAATATTATAAGTCAGACATAAATAAACATGATTTCCCAAAATCATTGTAAGCCTATGTAGATCAAAGAGAACCTTGGTGCCATTGGTTGCTGCAATCTACTTAGGTTTATGACTCTTTTGGGAAATGTAACCTTGACCGATAAATGTAGTGAAAGTCAAAATAACCGGTTTCTCGTACTGACTTCCACGTTGTAGGCTGCAGTTCTCTCTCGCCTGTGGTTTTGTCATTAACTCTCTCACACATGCACATGCGGAAGCTGCTCAGTGGAAACTGTGGTTGGTTAAGGCCTAATGTTTAAAGTTGATTCAAATCAGCTAGCCTTAACACCCTAACACTTTTCTGAGAACGTAGCAGAAATTAATCAACCAAAACGTGCAGAACTGCCTCCCATCACAAATAGATTCCAACTTGGTCGACTGTTGAAAAAAAAAAAAGCAACTTTTCCCCCACTTTTGAATGAGAGGTGAGTGGAAACCGCATGCTTCTGAGCTCTTCGGCCTCTATGTGGCTATCACTAAAGAACAAAGGACCTTCAACTTGCATCTCTTGTCATGCGAGTGCAATGTACTCTTATGGTGCAGGTTCATGTTTCGTTTCATGCTTGATTACTAACTTGTGCTCTGTTAATCTGGACATGCATGACCCTACACAAAACCACAACACCATATTTCATATCAATGACCAGTCTGTTTGTCCTGAAGATAACCATGATAAAGAAGAAAATTGTAGAAATGTCACTGGAGAGTCTATTCAATATAGCTGCATTCAGCTGAACACTGAATTGTAATTTAAGAACTGCTAAAGTTGCGTGCTTCAGTAGATGCAATTAGTCTGAGAAATATGTGGCGCATTTAAAACTTGTTTCCCGTAGCTTGTTCACCTATGTTCTGCTTTCTCTTTATTTGAAGGTGTTCTTGTTATTGCTTTGGGTTGCTTTTGATTTCAAATGCTTTTTTTTTTTAGTTTCACTGGCTGACTCTTTAATGGGACCAGGGTCATTGTGAAAAAGAAGTGCACTTAATTTTATGAAATGTTCACTTGTAGTACACTTCAAATCTTAGAAGTGTATTTTAAATAAGCTGTGCTTGAAAACAATATAATAATACTGAAATAAAAGGCCACTTAAGTACATTTTCATGACAATTCTTCTTATCAGACTTTAAAACGTGCACACGTAAGTGTGTGCTGACTATACTAAAGCACTTAATTTTAGTTTATCATAAATGCTTGTCAGTACTTTAACCATGTTTTCAAGACAATTGAATTATGAAATCACATATAAAGATTTAAGCCCTATACTTAAGTGGTTAAAAACACTCTTAAGTTCAACTAATAGCATATAAATTTAAACTATAATTACATTTTCAATTCAATTGCCAATAAGTGTCTGAAAACATCGTTTGCACTGTATTTTTTAAAATTATATTATTTCTGTAATAAGTACTTTAATGAAAGCTATACTAAAGTGTACTTCTTTTCACAAGGGAGTTGATGACTCTTCAAGCTTTCATTCAGTTAGTCTCCTCTCAATCTGCTTAATTGCTGGCTTGATCACATGTACATTTCCTTCTTCCAACTCAGAATCCGATAACTGATCGTACCCGGAGGAAATATTCAGATTTGCCTTTCAACAGTGTCGCCCATCCCATCCAAAGATTATTTTGTCCCTCAAAGCCCCAGGGCTCAGAGGAACCACCTCCACCTTTCCCGCAGGAGCACAGGGAGACTCAGAACTACAGCTCTTTTCATTTAACCACACATGCAAATGTGGGATGTATCAATTCCACCTTCCTTGTCAGGACTTTCTCATTGTTATTTGTTTTCTCTTTCAGAAACACACTGTATGTGCAAACTGTCAGAAAGCACCACAGCTTACTGACTTCAGGAGGCCAACAGCCAATAGAGAATCGTGAAATATAACTGTAAAGAGTGTTTTTGAGTGTCCTTTTACGTGCGGAGATGGAGCCTCTAAGGAGGAAGATAAATATTTAAATGTGTACTCTGATATTGTTATGGTCTGTGAAACTATAGTGAACTACGGAAGTACCAGTATAACTAAAGCTAAAGCATGATATTATTTCAAAGAAACATGCGGGTTCCTCAAACACAGGACTGCGCTTAAATAAAAACATGTAACCTACTGGATGTGACCCAGTAACTGTGTCATACGTTAGAAATTAATCCGAGTAAAGAATTCAGCAAAAGAATAACCAACTAAATAATTTGATTAAATATGAGTCTTGAGTGAACCAGATACATATCTCTCTCTCTTTCTAAATTAACACAGGAGATAAGAGACCAGATTCTAGTTTACAGATAAACGACAAAAACAGTCAGGAAAACTAAAGAGTAGCTTATGACAAATAGCATTAAGGAGATACATTAAATTAAGTTTAAATGTTAATATTAGGACTATTTAATTTAGGTGCATATGAAAGCTAGAAACGTCTTTAAAAAACGAAAATAGAAAATCATCTTTAAAGAATAGGGTCTTAATCGAAAAGTCTTAATCGTTTGACTACAAAAAACAATGACATAGAAATAATGAAGAAAAACATAATTAAATAACAACTCGATGTAAATAATAATAAACATAAATATTTTAAGATAACTTACCACTTAAGTCGCAATCCAGACGAAAATAATATTTCTTTATTCACAAAATCTCGCTAGTTGACCGAGATGTAGAAATGTTGAGGTCGCTTCACGCCGGCTCCTCCATCAGTGATGCGCTTCAGTGAGACTCTCGCGCCGTACTGTCCAAGAGGAAGTTAGCGGCTGTGTCTCAAAAACTTCTGAAACGCCTTCCTAGGCAACAGTGAAGGACACCAGGCCCGTTGTAAGTATAGCTCAGCTCATACATACACACTGAGCTCATCCGACTCGTAACGAGGTGATAATAGCCAAAAATAAATCGAGCTCTTATGACGCTCAAAATGCTGTCTAGGCAGGGAGCTTAGTAAGTATTGAGACACTGTTTTGTCAGAGGAAATCTGTCATGAATATTCCGCTTCAATATCCGCGTGTCATATTCTCGCAATAGTCTTCGTACAACACTGTGAAACCAGGGTATTTTGTGTGAAGGTTGCAAAAAAACTTGTTTAAAAACCTCTTGCAATGTCACTTCACTTCTGAGAAAAAAAAAAAACACAGCATTGTTCGTTCAGCCAGTGTCATTCAAATTTTGACACAAATAATGTGATATTTAAAAAGAGTGATTTCAAATATAAGTGATACTAAAATCAAAATAAAAGCGAGAAAAGTAACAAAAAATTAATAACAAAGGCAGATTTAGATTTGCTGGAGAACAGATTAGAAGAGCGAGCTGTGTGTATCTATTAGTGCACAACCACAGATAGAAACACACAGATGTATTATTATTAGATTGGAAATAGTCAAACAAACAGTTGGTCTGGCCTCACAGTTACATAAAGACCGAATAATCCGATGGTGAGATTAAACACCCTCTTTTTTTGAAAGAGACAGAGAAAGAGAAACATAAACGAGCAAATACATAAATCAACCTCTTCTTTAGTAAATACTACGGTAAAACAACTTCATTCCTAATATGCAAATACTTACAAGAGAGAGAGAGAGAGAGAGAGAGAGAGAGAGAGAGAAGATATTCAAATAAACAGAAGATAGAAACACACAGATGTATTATTATTAGATTGGAAATAGTCAAACAAACAGTTGGTCTGGCCTCACAGTTACATAAAGACCGAATAATCCGATGGTGAGATTAAACACCCTCTTTTTTTGAAAGAGACAGAGAAAGAGAAACATAAACGAGCAAATACATAAATCAACCTCTTCTTTAGTAAATACTACGGTAAAACAACTTCATTCCTAATATGCAAATACTTACAAGAGAGAGAGAGAGAGAGAGAGAGAGAGAGAGAGAGAAGATATTCACATTAACAGAAAGTCAAGTGTGATACCTTGATCCAAGGGTTTTTATTTGGATTTTTACCTTTGTAACTTTAAACTCATACACCTTTGCTCAGTATACAAAAGTAACAAGCTAAGTGTTGTGGTGATTGGCATATTCAAGTGAAAATTCTTAATTGTTCTCAGGTTCTTCACAGTGAAAACTATTTACCCTCTTCCTGCAACAATATAGGTGTTCCCCACATCCTAACCCAATTACAGGTGATAATTCACAAAGTATGACTACAGCCATCTTTTCATGCAATGCACTTATATTTGTATTTATTTAGATAGACATTAGTTGTTAGGTAGTTGCTATGTCCTTCTAGTGTCTAAAAAGTGAGGACTTTTAGTTAGATAATATCTCCAAATTATCTCTAAAACTATCTAAAAAATAGTGCAAAGCAAAGGTTTACGTCTAGTTTGAAGCAATGGTACAGAAAGTAAAAAAAAATTATATATTTTTTTTCTTCACAGTTTTACCCTTCCTCCTTTTACACTCTGAAAGCTTTTACAGCTGCAAGTGGAAAATTCACTATTACAAAATATATGCTTGACATCTCAAAAAAACCAAAAGGGGAAGCCGAGGGTTTTTCATTTTGTCACATCTACAAGAAGCAGGCTGTAGTGCTCAGAGACAAAAATAGATGAGATGCGACACCTCTTACACGGAAGAGAGAATGAACACAAACTGAGTGTTGACATGACAGAATGGTAACAACACAAGACAGCAAGCAATTGCATGTACTCCTGTTATATGTGCTTATTAAAAACTCATGATATGGTATAAAAGAGGAAGAATAAAGTGAATAAAGTGAAGCTTCCTGTTTTGGTAGCGCTAAAGATTTCTGGGAAATCGACACAATAAAATAACAAATTAATCCAGCACAAATTCATCCACATACAGTTTGAATGATATAGCTTGAACACGAAAAAAATATATCTTATTTAATTCCAGTCTGCACTGCAGTATGCATTGTATTCGATACACTAGAATTATGTTGATAAGAGGTGCGTGCGGCTGAAGTCTAGTGTTGGTTTTTCTGGAAAACTAAAGCGAACACCAGCGATTCGAACTTGGAAACTGGTGGTGAAGGGTGAAAACAAAATGGTTGTCTGAATAACCACAGCAGATCATACATAATAGTTAAATCCGTTGCCTGTATATATAAAAAAAGAAATATATGAAGAAAAATATTCATGACAATACTAAGCAAAGCCAATCAACATAAAACAGTGAAAAATAAAAAGAGACCTTCATCCTTGCTCTGAGTCTGCATGGGTTCCTTGATGTCCCCTGCTCAGCCGTATTTTAATCTCCTTTAGTGAGCGCTGGGAAAGAGCTAAGATGTAACAACACAAGTGAAATTTCAGAAGATGCTAAATGTATTAATTGAATAAACTTTAAATGAATGAATGAATGATCTCTTACCATCAGTATCCTGTCCAGGTCTTTTTCTGCTTGCTTCAATGCTATTGTTCTCCTTCTCCTCTTGCTCCGTCAGTCTGTTTCCAGGATCAGACACCTTCACCGCCGACCACAATAAAGCATAAGTTACAACTGATCTCATAAGATCAGAAAACTTCAATTGAAGCTATTTGAAATATAACGACATAACATAAATTCAGTGCTAAGATTACCTGTCGTCTTGTTTTAAGGGACTCCATAACCACAACTGCAAGGCAAGACAGACCAATTAGAACAGTCCAATTAAACTTAAAGCAACCAACAAGAGTGAAGCTTTACCTGGCTGGAGGGAAATGGTTAGTGCTGGGATTTTCCTCTCCTCTGAGCTGACAGACGTTTCAGCTGCTGGAGATGTTTCACCTTCCTTTACCTCTCTCTGCTCCTTACATGTTTCCTGTGCTTCCTCCTGCTGTGTAATGTGAAACAAACCTCACAGTCAATTTTATTTGCATACTCGTAAATACAAACATGTCCAGAGAATGTATGAATTCATTCAGTCATTTTAGGTAAATCATAGTACTAATTTGTTCCCTAGTTTTATTTAAAGTGTGGCCACAATTTAACTACATTAAAATGAAGGAAAGAAATAGTACAATGTGACCATGATTTAACAAAACCACATCTATTTGGCAACAATATCTATTGTTTTTCTATATGCCCAGGGCTTCGTAAACAGGAACAGTGCAAACACAAAGAAGCCTGGGTGTGCAACAGTTAGTATACAGTATACAACAGGTTAAATGCAAAGAGTTTCATACACAAGAAGCTAATATTGAGAAAGTGACATTTTAGAAACAATATTATAAGTAATCTTGTGTATTTGTTGCTCTACTTGCAAAAACAGTTTGAAACAAAGTCAAAGCAGAACCTTTTCGTGTCAGAGAGCAAAGACTGCTAGTCGTGCAATATCCTGAATGCTTGATCAAAATGTTGCATTATTTTGTATTAGCTAATTAAAAGAGCTTTTATTTAGCAGTTAGCACTTTGCTAAGCTGGTAGGCTACGATGTTAGCCTGCTTACTGGAAGCAAACTAAGACACAGAGAAAGGAATTTGTTTTGTTATTGTAGTCTAGCTGAGCATTTCGTAACCAAGTTAGCAATAAGCAAAGCTAGCAGCTAGCTAAGCAGTTAGCTTGCAAAGTGAAGAAAACAAATGTTTAACTTGACAATTTTTAGCTTTGGTAATATAATATGATATGCAGTTTATAAGTATAATTATCATATTTTCATGATTGAAAGTCATTGTAACATGATTTTCTATGCTTTCTGTTCAGGCATGAATGGGATACACTCATAAAATATTGTCTCAACCAAAGGAATGTCTTTATTGAGGAGGTATTTCTGCATGATTTGAAGTTTACCTGTGTGTTATTGTCTGCTGTCTGCTGGTCACTCTGAGGGCTTGATGGGCATTGAGATGACGATGAAAGTGTAGCAGGTGGTGAGGAAGATGAAGATGAAGATGCATCGCTCTGAGAGTGTGTTTTCTCTTTCTCTTTGCTTTTTGAACGTCCCGACTCAGACAGGTCTAACGGAGCTTCCTCTTCATCCTCTCTCAGATTCTCTACAAAAATCCTCTCTGGCTGCGTTGCTGAGGCCTTCCACTGGGGCGGCGCTGTAACGGCTTCTGTCACTCTCTTTTCTCTACTCTCTGCATGCTCTGACAGGTTTCTGCGGGACCAGGACCGCAGGCCACTAGGTGTTGGGCCATGTGCGCGAGACTGGAGGCCGCTGCTTGATGAGATCAGTTTTGGGAATTGCAAAATGTTTGAGCTGGTAATTGGGGTCTGGCTTGGGTGAACCGCTATCCCGCTACCAACACCAGAGCCGCGGGCTGCTAATGTTACCCAGTCAGTTGATTCTGAGAGTGACCACGGGATAGACAGACGATCTAGACCGGTCTTGATCGGAAGCGGCCGGAAGGGGACGGGGGCGTGGATTTGTTGCCGGTTGCTACGATCCTCAGAGGCGACAGAAGAAAAAATAGGATTGTTCTTCAGTAGACTACGAGGAGATGGAAGAGAAGGAGACAAAGGGGAATGTCTGTGCTCAACCAAGTCCACGCTGGAAGATCTGTGGACACATGAGGAGAAGAATTAAGATGTGTCAAAATCCAGTGTCAGTGTGTCTGTTTTGTCTGCTCGTCTCACCTCCTTTCAGCACTGTGCTCTGTGCCCCATCTTGAGGTGGGCAACATGGGCTTATTCAATTCCTACAAGAGAGTAACACAAATTTCAGCAACCAATAAAAACACAAGGGAATAGAAAGAACACGATTTACTATAAAACAACCAATTTAAAAGATCAAAAACAATATTGAAAAAACTCATTATTGCTTACAAATGAAAACGCCCTGCCCCAGCTTTGCATAAGTTTGTGTTCAGAAGCTTTCTCTGTACAGAATAAAGAACATTACAGATCTTTTCATCAGATGTGAACAAGCTATGATACATTCAGTACATTCAGTAGTAGTAATCTCAAAATAGCACTGGTTCTCATATATGTCAGAAATTGACCCAACCGTAACTTACTCAGGATGTCAGTTGGGCTATTGTCCGTCTCACGTTTGACAGTCGCTGCAGATACAGTGGCGTCCCCTGGTGGATTCTGCTGGCTGGACTTCAGCTCTGAGGCCAGTGAAGTCAAAGCAGTCACTGCTGTGTCAGGTGACACCTTGAACTCTGGGGTGATTGTGTCCTCTGAATGACCATTCTGCTGACTGGAAGGTGAAGCACGGAGTTTTTACGCATGACTATTATATACAATACATTGTACTAGTCTGTTAAACTGGCCCTGACCACAAGTGACCAACATCAGGTGATATTTTTCCCAAAATTTGGTGCAGACCACAGTATGTTGGCTAGTGTTGCATGGTTACAATTACAGTAAATCAGATTGTGCCACTATGTGACAGGACTTGAACTTGCACATGAAAAGCAACAGGAAATATTTGCACAAATATGGCAAGGAAGCATATTGAGCAAATGGGCCGCTCACTTTGATAGATCCCTCAAGCCCTTCAGCTCCTCTCTCAGTCTGTCGTTTTCTTTCTTTATTGCATTCATCTCACTCACTGCGGCAGTGAACAGGAAAATAATTAATATTCATATATTCCTCTGTGACCTAGATGGACTTCATAACAACAAAGTCAACAAATATTGCAAAGGGTGACTGTTTTATGGTTTATGTTCAATAAGATTGATTGATTTAATACTTTTGATCAATTTAATGGATCCTTGCTGAATAAAAGTAAATTAAAAATAAAGATATTACATTTTAAAATATATTAAAATATATAACAGTTGTTTAGAATTGTAATACTAACAAAATTACTGTTTTACTGTATTTTTTTTATAAAATTAATGCAGTCTTGGTGAGCATAAGATGATTCTTTAACAACCCCAAACTTTTGAATGGTAATGTAAAAATACAGTAGGGACCAAAAGGCTTTTCTTTTGCTTTTTTTATTACAAATAGTATCATTAGGATAAGAATTTACTTAAAAAACATTAACATTTAAGTAACAATGTAGTTATTATATGACTATAATTGATTAGATTAGACTTATTATAGGGTTTGTTCATCTTTTGCTTTAATGACAGCAGCTGCATGACATTTGTGTAAAACCTGATTAATGATATCGCAAAGGAAATCGGACTTGTTGTGTAAAAGGAATCAACACGGTCAATGCCATAATATTTCCTCTTCATATAAAGGCTCTAAGGGTACCTAGTAGAGAGATGTGCTGCAGACTCTGGAGCTGGGAGTTTTCATACTCCTGTTGTCTTTTTTTAGCAACGTCCTGAGTGACTGTACACCTGTCACACAACCCGGCCCGCAACCTGAGGATCGACAGACACAGTGTGGGCAGTGGTGCATGAGATTACATTTAAAACTGACTCTCTCTCTCTCTCACACACACACACACACACACACACACACACACACCTGTTCTCCAGTTGTTTGATGTTTTCAGTAAGAATCCGCTGCTGTTCTTTCATCTGCTGGTTCCTGTTGTAAAGTTCTTCTATGCGCTTTGCATCGCTACAACAGGATGCACATAAAACGTTATTGATGTGGATGTCAAATTTGATGTCAATCAATTTTAGCTTGAAAAATATGGTATGTGCACTCACATATTCTTTTCATTTGTCAGCTCCAGTACTTTCTCTTGCCACCCTGTAGAGAGAGAGAAAAACACATAGTGAATCTGGACAACTGGAGTGTGAAGCACTAAATGGCACATAGGAAAGCAGTGGCAGCTGTTATGATTTTACTTAAAGGGGTCGTATTATGCTTTTTCACTTTTTTAATTTTAGTCAGTGTGTAGTGTGTATGTTTGGGCATAAAAAAGATCTAGAAAAATGCTTTTTTCGAACCACCGAGCATGAGAGCATGTTCTAGTACACCCCCAAACAAAATCAAGACTTTGTAAAAGAGCATAATAGGACCCCTTTAAAGGAAAAGTCCAGAAATAAAAAAAATGGTTGAAAATGTACTCAGCTGTCATAATAATCCACAAGTAATCCACACGACTCCAGTCCATCAATTAACATCTTGTTTAGCGAAAAGCTGCATTTTTATAATAAACAAATCCATCAAGATGCTTTAACTTTAAACTGCCGCTTTCAGACAAAATACGAGTCCATAATCCATAATAACACTTCATCCAGTGAAAAAGTCCCCTGTTGTCCTCTCACATCAAAATCCACTGACATATTTGTTTAGAACTGCTTTCTTAATGATAGATTTGTTTATTACAAACATGCAGCTTCTTGCTTCACAAGGCTGATGGACTGGAGTCGTGTGGATTACTTGTGGATTATTGTTTTGTTTTTATCAGCTGTTTGGACTCTCATTCTGATGGCACCCATTCACTGCAGAGGATCCATTTTTCCAAATCTGTTCTGATGAAGGAACAAACTTGGAATACCTAACACTGAGTAAATTTTCAGCTAAATGTCTTTTTCTTTTTTTTGGTGAACTATTCTTTCAAATATCATGTTCACGCTTATTTTTGCTGATATTTTTGGCTGCTTTATGAAGTGTTAATGTGAGTCACAATGTAATGCCATTGTGTTGAATTCACCCCACCTTCATTCATTAAACTATCTCCTTTAGTTCAGAAAGAAAGACATAAAAGAAAAAAAAGGAAGTCAAAAAGGTTTGGAATGACATGATGGTGAATAAACAATGTCAGATTCATACTAAACAATGTTGTTGATTTATTCTTATTATTAAGAATTAGTGATTTCATAGCATTTGATAATAGCATGAATAAATTGTGCTTAGGGTTAAGTTTTTATTGTTTAGCTGATTTTATTTCTGCAGTTACTGTTGTTGTTGTCACCACTGTTAAACTGCATTCACATTAGTGACGTTTTGCAGGCAAAAAAGGTCCAATGTCCAGAGTCAACAGTCTAGTGATGTGTGAAGGAAAGCTCACATGGAAGTCACTTTTAAACCAAGCAGCTTTCTGTTTGTCAATGCAGCAAATTCATGTGACCAACTTAACCAAGAGAAAAATCTGCATGGGAAATTTTTTCACCCTCGAGCGAAACTCCTGATCATGCAGATTTCTAATTGAAATGACTGGATTTCGTCTGTGAAATTTTCGCCAAGGAACAGTAAATGTGACCTCACTTTCAGTTATCTATTTTGTGGTGATGTAAAGATGTTTTCCTGTTGATTGTCACTGTTACTGAGTTTGGTGAAGTTGTCTATTGGTGAGTGTTCAAGAAAAAAAAAAAAAAAGATTGGTGATCTTACCCTCTAAATCATGCTCATGCACCTCCCGCAGTTTCTGCAGGAGTTCAGGAAAGCTTTCCACAGCCATGCTGGTGTTCCTACACACCGGCCTCTTCACTCGTCTTCCTACAAATAAGGATAGGAAGGAAAAATGAAGGAAAACATGAAAAAGATAAAGATTTGTTAAATCAATGCATGGTTAGGGTACAACTGGTGCCAGTTCATGTTTTGCTGTTGCCTTGACTTAACCTGCTAAAATATGAGCTTACATTTCTACACTCCTATATACCAAGGCTATTAAAACCTGGTCTTGCCAAACTGGTTCTGCAAGATGTGTACCGCAGGCCAAACTTTATTTGTGTATGCATGTATGACTGTGTGTAAAATAGAGAGTGAGAGAGTAAGAAATAAGGAGAGATGGCATTCCCACAACGTGTGTGTGTGTGTGTGTGCTAGCATTTAAAAACAAACAGGATCAGGAAGTTTATTTATAACCTATGCAATGTGCAGAAAACTTATAAATGGGGTTCAAATTGTAATAATATTTCACAATATTACTGTCTGACCCAACAACATGTAGCCTTGGTGAGCAGAAGAGACTTCTTTTATAAAAACATTCAAAAGATCTCACGACCCCAAACTTTTGAAAGGTAGTTTCAGCCTAGGCACTGTAAATTACACCAGATACACGCATAGAAGAGCATAACATCTCTTAAAACTGATGGGACACAAACAAACTTTCTAATAAAACAGGGATTTAAATTTCAATACAAAGTGGCAACAGTGCTGCAAAGCAACATAGAAAAATCTAAATACATTATAATGACTCATAATGTCATTATACAGTATATGCATACAGCATGCCGCTGAGGGTTCTTGGGAGGGTGCAGTTACCGCCCCCCTCCCTCCCCCATACAATCTTTTTTTGCATTTTGCATTCAGAGTGATTTTCGCCTGCTCCTTCACTCTCTCTGCATGTCGGGATACGTTAGATAACAGTTTTGAATGTTACAGCAGAAGGAGCAAGAGGGAACCTGTCTCTCAGAACTGCAAACTTCAATTTTCACACACATCTACACACACACACACACACACACACACACACACACACAAACTAATGTTTTAAACCCACTCCTTTGAGCTGACTTCACAAAAAAATGATTACTAGCAATTTAGAATATACCTGTATAGATTTACCACAGGAATAGGTGTTAACTATCAGATCTGACCTCTGACTCTCAGTGACCTTGACATTTGGGGTCAGAGGTCATTCATGGTGTCACTAAATAAGTGGCATATTACATATATTGCATACTGTAATTGATCTAAAACATACAAAATCAGTCAGTTAATCAACATGATGGATAGGTGGAGTCTTTGAGCAGGCCTGGGGCATAATAACATTATTAATATACATGAGAAAGTATGCTTCTGAGATGGATTGGTGGATCAAGTCTGACATTACGCAATCTCTGCCTATGATTTTGCTAGGGTTTTGTTTTTTTGGCAGTTGTTTGTGTTTTACATGTTTTACATGATAAAGTATTTAGGGTACTATCAGTTTAATACTTGGTATATTACCAAGGGCAAGACAATAAAAAAATATGAGAGAGAATCAGAGACAGAGATGTAAGCGAGTGAGCAAGCGCGAAAGAGAGAGAGAGAGAGAGAGAGAGGAAGTTGCTAACAAATGTTAAACTTTGTGAAAATGTACTAAGTTTATGATATAATGTCAATGGACTCTATATAATTAGTATTCAATTATTACTTTTTAATAGTTCTTTTTAATGATTCTCATTTATCAAAAAATAAACTGTGATTATTAATTTAATTTTCTTAATAACCTCAATACTCCAATTAATACGAAAAGAAAAACATAAGAAACAATAACGTTAATATTAGAAATAGATAGATGTGGATGGAATAAAATGTAATACTAAGACCAGATTCATTCATATCACTGATCAAATAAAAAAGAAATAACATCCCACCCAACTGAAATAGCTTGAATAACGAGTGACTGTGTTTCTGTAAATATGACGAGGTGCGTTATTGATAACTGATCACATCATGCAATAGCTCAATAAATAAATACCAAAACACATGACATCTGGTCAATACAGTATGTTCAGGAGAAACGAGTTCACTCACCCCGTGCCACCTTGTGGATGTCAATCACTTCACCTGCCAATCACGTGATGCTGTTGGTCTCCTCGTCAAGCCAGTGTCATCCGGAGCCCCCCGGAGAGACACATCAGATTGAAAACTAATGGGAATTAGAACGAAATGAAAAAGAAGAAAAGAAGAGTGTTACATACGCCCTGTGCTCCTGTCCTCCTCCTCCTCCTCTCCATGCAGCCCCTCCTTCTTCTCCCCACTAACGAGGAGAACAGGTTTGAGCAGTTCCTTACCGAGGCACACAAACACCAGTTCTCCCCTGGATAAACCGGCCCTGCTGAAATCCCACTAAACCTGCCTGGCCACAAAGAAAAAAAAAATCCTGAGAGGGATATAGAGAACCTTTAGACACACAAAGCCGCTTTATTCTGCTTTGATTTGCTCTTTTAATCTCAAGGAACCAAAGATGCATTTATTCAACTTCATTGCAGTGACATGGGGAAGTTTATTAGCATTTAATTTACTATATGTATAGCCTGGTGAGAGAAATGTGTCTTTTTAAACCCTCATATAAATATGTGCTGTTACACTTATATGCTAAAACATAAGCATAATTTTTGTGACGTTTAAAACATACTTTTGAAAAACATTTGTAACATTTTAATATATTTAATGAAGTATATGAATGGACTTGCACATAAATAAATTAGCTATAAAATAAGCATATGCATTCTTACTAGGGATGCACGATATTATCGGAATGTTATCGGAATCGGCCGATAAACGCTTAAAATGTAAACTCAGTTTACCCCTGAGTAAACTTTATTTACTCAGGGGGCGCTGTTTGCCTGCTTGTAATAAAATGAAAGTAAAATACACAAATAACATTAAGATACTTGTGTTTCTGAATAAATAAAGCAGTATTGATGTCATAAAATCATGAATGAGGAGTTCTGATTTAAAGTGGAATTTAAGCAGTCAGTCAAGTTTACATTATTTAGTAAACTGATTTCCACTTTAAAAATAAAAATATTTAACAAGCACGATTAATGTAACCATTTTAAAGAAAAAAAGGATGTTTTGCTATAGCTTTTGGAGCAAAGGCGCCGCCATCTTGCAATACCACAGCGCGTGATGTCACGGGGTTGGTTTGCTACATATGATGTCACACCCTTACAAGAACGCCCACATGGGCAAAACAAGGCTTTCCTCCATTGACAGCCAGTTATCTTTTACGAGGTTTGCATTAAGTAGTAATGTAGTAAGACAGTGATATTTAAAGGCCAAATTCAGTATACACCTTATGCATACTTTGTACAGGCAAGCAGATGAACCCAGAATATAAACACAATGGGCAAAATTTAATATTAAATATTTTCCCATAGAAAACCATTATAAAGAAGACGATTGTCCATTTAAAGTGAGTGACATAACGTGTGGCCAAGTATGGTCTCCCATACTCAGAATTTGTGCTCTGCATTTATCCCATCCAAGTGCACACACACAGCAGTGAGTAGTGAACACACACACACACACCGTGAACACACACCCAGAGCAGTGGGCAGCCATTTTTTGCTGCAGCACCCAGGGAGCAGTTGGGGGTTCAGTGCCTTGCTCAAGGGTCTACACCTCAGTCATGGTATTGAAGGTAGAAGAGAGCGCTGTTCATTCACTCCCCCCACCTACAATCCCTGACAGCACTGAGACTCGAACCCGCAACCTTTGGATTACAAGTTCGACTCTCTAACCATTAGTTTACCATTAATTTATTAGAATTATTAGAATCATTTTGGTCAAGAGTTTGTATATGCTGCTGTACTATTTAAATGTAACTCAAGGAATGTATTGTTGTAATGAACAAAGGATATCGTACATTAAAGTTTTCTAGATGTGAAAGTGTGTGTACGTGTATGCCATGCTCATTTAATGATGTTTGTACTTTTTAATATACCATATTAGAATGCTGAAAAATAGCTTTATATGCAAAGTGCTGCTGAAGATGAGGCACATTAAAGTGAAGCTTAAAATGTAATTTAACTGTACTTCAAGAAGTATAAAAGTGTATTTTAAATAATATGAAGAAGTACAATTAAATTACACTAAAGATACTTGTAGTTGTTCCATTTGAACACAACTAAATATATTAAAATATACTGCAATTAGCTTAAAATTTATTTTAAGCATGTCTTAAAGAGCACGTAACATACTTAAAGTTGTTCCAAAATAACATGTTTGTTATGCACTTCGTATTGTATAATAAAAAATATAATAAGTGCATCAATATTTGTACAACTTAAGTATTTATTTTTTTACCTGGGTAACCAGATATTTGTAGTGGTTTTACAGCAGTAACCTTCATTTAATTATGATATTTGTAAAAACATAGTAATAATACAGGAAAAACAAGGTTAAACTAAAAAACTTGGCTAATGTGCGGAATGTTAATCATAGTTTCTGTCAAAAACCTGTTTTACTACAGTAAAAACATTGTTATGTTTTGTAAAAGGTACTCAAAGAACTTCCAAACAGAGCTTCAAAACAGAGACACACTTCATATATCCTGGCTGACGCATTTAAAGTTAGGGCTCACAATTCTCAATACTCCACAACAAAGAGTCCTGAGTGTTGAAGCTAGCATAAACTTGGGTCTATAAGTACATGAACAGGCCAGGTCACCTTTATGCATATTAGATATGATGAATCAGCAGGGCTCTGGTCCAGCATGAGCAATTCAAACCTATGAAATGCAGCTCTGAGAGAATGCCACCAGAAGTCAGCAAGATAGATGATGGCAATGTCTGATTCTGCAGTACCAGACAGACCAGGTCAGTGAGCTGAGTCATGTGCAGCTTTTGAGCACACTATTCCACTGTAGACTAAACCAGATTTACATGTCAACTTTATAACGTATCTATTATGGATATCTATATGGATATATAGAGGGGCCAGAGAGAGCAACTACACCAATCTTAATAGCAAATGGTGACAGATCTATGCAAACTGGTTTCTCTAGGTTCATGAACCAAAGCGTAAAATCTGCTATATAATTTTGGTACTCTGAGATGTGATCTGCTTTATGCCCACTTGGGGGAGTAACAGCACGTTTTAACAGGCTGTATAGGCCATCAATATTCACATCCTATAATGAACAAACACAGGGATTGCTATTAAATGTTACAAATGCAGTTTTAATTATTAATGGATTAAAAAAAAAAAAAAATGTATGAAGTCTGCTCGATTGCAGCATAAATTACTGGGTGTGTCATTACTTGACATAAACTGAAGTTGAACTGACTTGTACTATTTTTGTCTAAAATGCAATGGATTTATACATTTATAAAAAGAATAATTAAATAAATAAATACACGCACGCACGCACACAGACACTTGTATGCTAACAATAGTTTGCCCCTGAGAAAAACAATCCAAGTTGCTTGAATACCTGATTTATGTGTTAAATGAACAACGTCAAATTACTACATAGAAAAAAAGGTGTTTTATCTTTTACATTTGATTAATTACATGACTGTAAAACATGCGTCAAGGTTTTCTGGGGGCTGTTCATAGTGTAGGAACACACACAGACTTACACACACACACACACACACACACACACGAGGGACTGGGATTCCATAGGATCAGAGCAGCACTACGATCCATGTCTTGAGCCAGATAAGACTTCAAAGCATGAGACAGATTTACAAGGCATGGCGAATCCCCCTTTTAAAAAATACTGCTGCACAAATGTTTATGCAACTCAAAAGACGTCTAACACTGCAGAAACAAGCTCAGTCATCATGAAATGGCAACTGGCATGAAAGAACAATGGACTACCTGTGTTTTGTGAACAAAGCAATATTACTTTGACTATAAAAACAGATGTAAATGGTTCCCACATACAATGGGATCCAAACTTCTAATATCACTATTGAAAATGCTTACATTGAGCATTATACTAATTTAATACTTTTTTTTTCTCATTACATATTTTCAACATAACAATTTGAGTGAAATGTTAATACAAAAAAGTATACATGAACCTCATAACGTCTTGATAATTGATTAATTTGATTTCATGACAGCAGCAGGCGAGCTGCATTGGGTAAACGCTGATCATGTTCAGTGTGATTTGAGTTGATCCAAAGAGCATCTTAAGGTTCAATGGAAGAGCATCTAACTGTTTGTACAAAGAGTCACATGATCAATGTCACTCTTTTATAAACTAATTTTACATCATGATGTTTCTTTGAGTCTAAATCCTATATAAATCCTAAATCAGGTTCATTCCTAGTTTTATTTGATTCTAAATCACGGCTTTTCAATGCAACCCTTTGGACCGCACTGTAACTTTTTAGAAACTGCGCGATATACTCATTGGTGTATAGAAGTAAATATTCATATGGCTTTTATGAAAAGTTTTAAATATTCATGAATAGTTTAACGCCAATAAATATGTATCACCATACTGTAATTTCACAAAAAACTCTTTTGATTGCACTGCTTGCAATTTTTTTTCTTTCAGCATGTTTCGGCTGTAGTCTCAAATTACAAGTTCAGGTGAGATTTCTGCAGTTTTGAAGTAGTTCCACAGTCAGTCACTAGAGGGTGCTGTGTTATTCACCTCTACAGTGATTCACCTGTGGGCCTTCATTACAGCAATTGAACAGATGGTCAAGCTAAACTCAAAATGAATGTCTTAACATTTTTATTACACACTTTAGAGATTCTGTATATAAACAAACACGCTCACACACACATTCAGCATTGGCGGCAATATATGATTTCCCATTGGAAGTCGTGATGTCGTTTCTGCTCTTAAACTACTTTTGATAAACTCAACAGAATGTCTTTAAACCTGCTGGTACGGGAAGGATGGAAACCAGGACCATTGCTGTTTAACAGCATAAGGCATGGCCAGATTGCTCTGTTCCGCTACGGAGCAAAGGAATGGATGTGTCTTGATCATTTGTCTGTAGTGTTGCCAGAAAACAACATGATGGAGCAGTCAGTCAGTCCAAGACCCGATACCGTCCAAGCCCACCCAGAGACTCCACTTACAGTGACATCAAACAAGAACGAGAGAGGAAGGGGAGAGTGAAAGAAAGATACAGTACCGGGGTCGGGAACAGGGGAGCTTTGGTTACCAATCC